GGATTTTATTATTTTTTTATTTTTTTTAAATATATTTTATTGATTTTTTACAGAGAGGAAGGGAGAGGGATAGAGAGCTAGAAACATCGATGAGAGAGAAACATCGACCAGTTGCTTCCTGCACACCTCCTACTGGGGATGTTCCCGCAACCAATGTACATGCCCTGGACCAGAATTGAACCTGGAACCTTTCAGTCCACAGACCGACGCTTTACCACTGAGCCAAACCGGCTTTGGCAACATTGGGATCTTAATGAGGGTTGAATTAAAACTGTGTTTGGGTAATGTGCCCATTTTAACTATGTTGATTCTTCCAATCCATGATCCTGGGATATTTTTCTATTTTGTTATGTCTCTTTCAATTTCTTAATAATGCTTTGTAATTTTCAGTATATAGATCTTTCACATTCTTTATTAAGTTTATTCCTAGGTATTTTATTCTATTGGTTGTAATTGCAAAAGAAATGCTTTTTATTTCTTTTCTGGAGTTTTGTTTTTAGTACACAGGAAGGCAGAAGATTTTTGTACATTGATTTTGTATCCTGCAACTTTACTGTATTTGTTTATTGTTTCTAACAGTTTTTTGATGATGTCCTTTCAATGGACAAGTATTGTCATCTGAAAAAAGTGATGCTTTTACTTCTTACTTTTCAATTTGGGTGCCTTTAATTTTTTTCTCTTACCTTATTGCTCTGGCTAGGACTTCCAGAACAAAAGTGATGAGACTGGGCATCCTTGTCTTGTTTCTGATTTTAGAGGAAAAGATTTCAGTCTTTCATCATTGAGTATAATATTATCTGTTTATCATGTATGGCCTTTATTAGGAGGTACTTTCCTTCTATCCCTATTGTGTTTAGTGTTTTAATAATAAATGGATATTGTATCTTAAGTGCTTTTTCTGCATCTATTGATAAACTCCTATGATTTTTATTCTTTCTTTAGTTAATGTGGTATATTACATTGATTTGCATATGTTGAACCATCCTTATGCTCCTGGAATGAACTCCACTTAATCGTGATGTATATATTAGGATTAATAAAATTGACAAACCCCTGGATAAACTCAGTAAAGAAAAAAAGGAAAAAAAATAAACAAAATCAGAAATGAAAGAGGAGAAGTCACCATAGACGTGGCAGATATACAGAGGCTTATACTAGAATATATGAAGGACTATGCCACCAAATTCAATAACCTAGAAGAAATGGATAAGTTCCTAGAAATATATAACCTTCCTAGACTCAATCATGAACATTGGGAAATCAAAATAGGTCAGCAGTGATGAAGTTGAAACAACCCTAAAAAAAAAAAAAAAAAAAAAAATTCTCCCCAAAAATAAAAGTCCAAGACCATATGGCTTCATCAATGAATTCTACCAAACATTCAAAGACTTAAAACCTATCCTTCTCAAACTCTTCCAAAAAAAAATTAAAGAAGAGGCAATATTTCCTAACACATTTTATGAGGTCAACATAACTCTGACACCAAAAACCTGGCAAGAATAACACAAAAAGGAAAACTACAGACCAATATATCTGATGAATACAGATGCAAAAATCCTAAACAAAATATTAGGAAGTTGAGACCTAGTTTCTAATTAGTACAAATTTTGCTTTTTAATTGACATACATACTGATTATTTTATTAGTTTCAGGAGTACAATTTAAAATTTAGTAATTAGATATATTGCAAAATGACTACCACAAAGGTCTAGTTAACATCCATCTATTTCTTTTCTTAATAGTTAATTTGACTTAAACATATCCTTAAACACTGCTAATGGATCTGAGATAAAATACTGACACCACAGAACATGCTTATCAGTGTTAGGAACTTTTAATACTATCATTTTATCTCTAAAAGGTTTTATAGAATCTTAAAGATGAGAAAACAGGCAAAGTTACTTCTCTTAAATCACACACTATATTGGCAAAGCTAAAGCCAATATCTTTCATTTATTGTTTCATTATTCCTTAAGTTGGGATTCATTTATCATTCCTCTAAACCATGTTTGTTTTGTTTGGTCATCATTCCAACTTAATACATATTTATTAAATAAATGTACAAATGACAGTGTGTTCAGTGTTGGTACTGGGGACACAGAGTTAAAAAGCACATCTTTACCCTTAAGAAGCTGATAGTCTCAGAGGAAACTTGCACAAATGGCACCCTGGTTAGGTGCCTGACTGCCCTGAAGGATGATCAGAGATATTCAGAAGGGTATGTCAAGGTGTATAGGGACCTATAAGCTGTTTGGTGCTGCTGGAAGTAAGAGTGGAGGGAAGTTGATTGTAGACACCTTAAATGCCATCTCAGAGAGCTGCTAGGAAGCTATGTAAAACAGAGAAATAAGATGGTTAAACCTATATTTTTTGAAGGTTCCCTGGGATGTTTGTATGGTGAATTGACAAATCCACAACTCGGGATTTATAGTATGATGCTTAAGAGATTAAGATGGCCTACCCTAGGGTCCTTGTAATAGGGTTAGTAAGGAGGAGAAGGATTTAAGAAGTATTTGGAAGGTATCTGGGGCTGGAGATAAGGATTTGAAAAATCATTAGCTTATCCTCAGTAATTGATGCCCTAAGAATGACTGAGATCTCTAAGAGTTTGGAGAGTTGAGGGTTAGGAAGGTGAATATTCAAAGGACTAGAAGAGGGAGAGTTGTCCACACATGATACTAGGTATAAATGGTCAAAGATTGTGTGGTTTCTCATAAGCCGAGCAATAGATATTTGAAGAAGGGAAGCATGTTCTGTGGTATGAGGAAGTGGAGACAATAGATGCATACTAATTTTTTATGTATTTCTAGATGACAAACAGGGTAGATATTATATAATAGCTAAAGGAGAATGTGGATGCAAATGAGGGGTTTTGTTTCTGTTTTAAGATGGGAGAACTGTAGCAGGTTCATAGATTGAAGACAGAGAGAACACAGCTCCTCTAACTCCCTACCCACTGTCCTTTATTCACATTCTCAGCTGCTTGGATCCAATAGTAGTTTTCTGTTTGAGTCTTCCAGGATACATCAGAGTAATCCCCTTATCTAATTAATATGTTTACACCTCTGCCATTTCAGAAATCTTTCAGAATTCATGAATTCTCATAGTGAGACTAGAGACCTGGTGCACGAAATTCATGCACAGGGTGTGTGTGTGGGGGGGGGGGAGGGGGTCTCTCAGCCCAGCCTACACCCTCTCCAATCTGAGACCCCTTGAGGGATTTCCAACTTCCTGTTTAGGTGGGATCAGGCCTAAATGGGAAGACAGACACAATCCAGGACTGCTAACTCCCAACTGCTTGCCAAATCCAACTGCTTGTCTGCCTGCCTGATTGCCGCTAACTGCTTCTGCTTGTCAGCCTGATCACCCCCTAACCATTCCCTGCCAGCCTGATTGATGCCTAACTATCCTCCCCTGCTGGCCTGGTTGTCCCAAACTTCCCTCCCCTGAAGGCCTGGTCCCCCCCAACTGCTCTCTCCTGAAGGCCTGCATCCTCCCCTGCAGGCCTAGTCACCCCTAACTCCCGTCCTCTGCAGGCCTGATCACCCACAACAACTGCCTTCCCCTGCTGGCCATTTTGTGTTCACATGGGGGTAGCCATCTTTGACCACATGGGAGCGGCCATATTTTGTGTTGGAGTGATGGTCAATTTGCATATTACTCTTTTATTATATAGGATTGCTTTAATGAGAACCAAATCAAGGAAAAGAGTATGATCTGCAATACATATTACAAACACAGTTAATATTTGCTGAACAAACATCAATGGACTTAATGAGTTTTTCTTAAAGCCATTATCTCATCTGCCTATATTACAGTTAGTATTGTATGTTACTTCCTCACACTAAATCTCGGATCTCCCAGGAGAAAATCATCTGAACATCTTTTAGTCCTCAAGCATTCAGCAATATTTGGCAAAAAAATAAACATTAATGCACATTGATCTGAATCAGTAATAAGAACCAAGACTTCAGTCATTTTTGTCTTATTTTGAAAGAATGGGTTTCTGTATCTTTTTTTTAAATCAATCTTTATTGTTCATATTATTACAAAGGTTCCTCATTTCTTCCCCCCTCCACCAGGTTCCCACCCCACCCTCTGCCCCCTCTCCACCTCCCATTGTCCTCATCCATAGATGCACAGTTTATGTTCAGTCTCTTCCCGCACCCACCACTCCCCCTTTCCTCAAGAATTGTCAGTCCACTCCCCTTCCGTATCTCTGATTCCATTAATCAACTGTTAATATTGTTCATCAGGTTTTTTAATTTCCTTGGTTTTTTGAGGGGTTTCTGTATCTTTTGACATTTTCAACCTATTTTTTTTTTTATCTACCTTATAAAACCAAGCCATTGAACCCAACACAACTCTCATATTCCACCTCAATATGTAACCTTAAAATCTCCTAATTTTGACTTCATGGGTGTTTTTGTTGTTTGTTTGTTTGTTTGTTTTATTCCATAGCTTCATCAATTTTTTAAGATCAGTTTTTATGTATTGAAGAGGTGGCAAGTGGCCATATGTAGTTGTAAAAAGCTCTCTGTTGAATCTTTTATGCCATTTTTCATGCTCTGTAATGACAGAGTAGAGAATGGAAGGGAGTGTAAACGAATCTGTCATGATATACTAAACAACTTCCTTCTCCAGCATGTTTTCCATTGTGTTGTAATCATTTGTGTAAGTCTTTGTAATCCTTGATCCTTGCAGGGGCCATGTGCCCTTGATCATTTCTTCAATCCCTATTGGAATACCTGGCATATAATAGGCATTCACTGAAAATGTCCTGAATGATGAAGTGCAGAAATGAAACAAGTCCTGGATTGATCCTTTAGAACTGTCAAGATTATACAGATTAGATTTTTGTTTAATACACCCCAAATAGCAGGAGTGGCAGGGGCTGATAGGAAATTCAAACTTTGAGAACTCCCATGAGTGTTTTTAACCTTGTGGAATCTGAACTGCCCTTTCTAAGCACAGTGTTTTCCCCTCCTTCTTTCTTGCAGGTTGGACTCAAATCTGTGATAGAGCAATTTCCTGGGAAGCTTGATTTCATCCTTTTGGATGGGGGTTTTGTCCTAAGCCATGGCCACAAGCAGTTGATGTGTTTGGCCAGGTCTGTTCTTAGTAAGGCGAAGATCTTGCTGCTGGATGAACCCAGTGCTCATCTGGATCCAATGTGAGTTTCAGAATTCCTGCTATTTAGTAATACAGTGGGAACATAATCCTTGAAACCTACTGCATATTGATACAAATTCCCATTGCCTAGTGCAGTTGTCGGCAAACTCATTAGTCAACAGAGCCAAATATCAACAGTACAGCGATTGAAATTTTTTTAAAAAATATATATTTTATTGATTTTTTACAGAGGGGAAGGGAGAGGGACAGAAAGTTAGAAACATTGATGAGAGAGAAACATCGATTAGCTGCTTCCTGCACACCCTCTACTGGGGATGAGCCCGAAACCAAGGTACATGCCCTTGACCGGAATAAAATCTGGGATCTTTCAGTCCCCAGGGCAACACTCCATCCACTGAGCCCAAACCAGTTTCGGCTGAAATTTCTTTTGGGAGCCAAATTTTTAAACTTAAACTTCTTCTAATGCCACTTTTTCAAAATAGATTCACCAGGCCATGGTATTCTGTGGAAGAGCCACACTCAAGGGGCCAAAGAGCTGCATATGGCTCGAGAGCCGCAGTTTGTTGACCACAGGCTTAGTGGAAAAGTCGCCATTGGATATGAGTACAAGTGCTTATTTCCTGGTATTAGAGCCTTAAGATCTCTTCTGAATGTGATTTTGGAATTTTATACAAGTTCTCCCCCTTGTGAACACATGAAATATTTAGTTACACAGGCAGATTCTGATTCTTATTATTGTTCTTTCTACTCTATTTATATGGTAGCACAAAATATAATAACTACTAGTGATTCTACATAATTTTTTTTTAAAAGTACTTTCGTAAAATTTTCTTCAAAATATTTGTCCTATTTTTTTATGGAAACTTAAAATCTATCCTTTGGTTGCAAAGCTAATTGTGGCTGACTATATCACAATTATGTTAAAAGTATTTAAGGAAATATAATTTAAAGGACTCAAATGATAGGACAATAAGCATATTATCAAGGATAAAGGCATATTATTGGTGTTCTGTGATGTTATGTGTGGTATTTTTTATTCTTTTCTAGAACATATCAAATCATTCGAAGAACCCTAAAACAAGCATTTGCTAATTGCACAGTGATCCTCTGTGAACACAGGATAGAAGCAATGTTGGAATGTCAACGATTTTTGGTGAGCATTTATAAATTATTTACGACCTCGTTTCTTCTTTAATTTTGGGTAACAATCTCTTAAGTGATAGTTTCTGCAGATCACAGTAATGTACAAGTTCAACCTTAAAACAGGTGTCACACAGCCATTTAGCCTGACTCGAAATAGCTGCACCGGTTTCTCACTTTGATCTGAGTTATGAGGTAGGGTTGGAATGCAGTAAGTCCAAAAGAGCAGCATATTACTCAGTGACATTAATAAACTGGAACATCTGCACTTTTCAGTCCTTTATTTGGGGACTAAGTCAGAAGGAAGACTTGAGTCCTGATGCTTTTAATAACTAAATCTTCCTTGGGTAGGTAGGGCCCTAGACAAGCCTGGATTCTCTTGCATCTCGTGTTTAGTTTCCATATGATAGTTGAAAGGCTCATTTCATTTTTTTAAAGTCATTATTTAGAACTCAGGTGAGTCTCTCTCCCAATCACCTTCTCATTGTGCTTTCAAAACTGTCACAAATTCTTTCAAGTGATGTTTACAAATTCCCTCAGGTTTAGTCACAAGGAAGTTCTCAGGATGGTATACCACATTATTCTATTAAGACTTCTGAGGTTCCTGGAGGTAAATGCTTTCCTTAATGAAGGATTGTTATTACCGTTTATTATTTCTAAGCTCCAGGTAACAAATTAGGGGCTGATTCACAGCCTCTTGCCCTGCCCTGGTCAGGCCCAGGAGGCTGGATAAAGCCTTTCTGTTCTCTGACCTTGGGTTTGCTCAACTTGAACATGTGAAGCAAGCTTATTAAACTCAGGCACATTCTGAACAATTTGGAATTTTTAACCTTCAAATCCACTGTCGATGAGGTTCAGCTATGACACTGTGGATTCTCACTCATTTTTAAGGTACTGTAAAAGGGATCTAACAAAAAGCATTCTGGTTTTGAAAGCACCCTTCATTCCTCTAACGCTCTCTGAAGAGGTGATTGCTCAGTACCATCCTAATTAAAATAAATAAATAAATAAATAAATAAATAAATAAATAAATAAATAAATAAATAAAATCTTCCAGCTGCTAAATAGAGAGTTACAGGTAGTTTCACAGATGGAGAAACTCCATAAAGCAAGAGGGTGAAGGATTTGGCAGTGAAGCGAGATCCCTCCCTGACCGTTCAGACTGCCAGCCTCTGGACATTGTTTCCTATTTGGCTTTTATCTTCCTCGGAGCCTAAGCCAGTGTGTCCTTGCTCTGGCCTGCCCTGCCTTCTGTCCAGTATCTCACTAACAGCCGCTTCCCTAGGTCATCGAGGAGAACCAGGTGCGGCAGTACGACTCCATCCAGAGGCTGCTGAGCGAGAAGAGCCTCTTCCAGCAGGCCATGAGCGCCTCGGACCGCCTGAAGCTCCTGCCCCACCGCAACTCCAGCAAGCACAAGCCTCGGACCCAAATCACCGCTCTGCAGGAGGAGACAGAGGAGGAGGTGCAGGAAACCAGGCTGTAGGAAGCAGCACCGATGTCTGCATGGAACACTCACGTGGACTTATGGGAGAAAACAGTGCATGCCTCAGGAAACAAGGATGAACAGTGCTATTTTTTAAAAAGAGAGTTTTCAGTAAGAGGAATCAAGGACGTTCACTGCGGTCCGGATAAGTGGCTTCCTGGCAATGGTCAAATTGTGTGACAGGAACTTCAAATCCTTGAAGATTTACCACTTACGTTTGCAAGCCAGATTTTCCTGAAGACCTTTTCCTTTTGTTAAAGTCATCGGAAAGGCAGCGGTAAATGTCAGCCAGCTTACTTGGTCCACTTACTGTTTAGTGAAATTGGTTGATTTGTATTTTTGGAGAACTGTAATCATACTATGTAGAGAGATGATTAACTTAAAACTTTAGTGGCTTATATTCCCTTTTCTCTAATATCTCCAAGATATTTCAAAACACCTCTGTATGTCTAATCAGTATTCAGACTGTCCCATTTCTAAGCAAGCATTAGAATACCGTGAGAGTCACAGACAGCCTGTCAACATATGCACTGTGTAATACCTAGGTATCAGTCAGGAGAGAGAACTTCCGGAATCCTTTAAATCAGGGTCAGTGCTATTCTTTTCCCAAAAATTCAAACATCTCTTACCTGGAAAAAGGCTGTTACAGTCCCATGTAGGGGACAGGAGAGCTCTCTCTTCGTGTGGAAGTTGACATGTCTTTCTACAACTTCCAGAAAGTAACAAGTTCTTGAGATATTCTGAACTGAAAGATGGCTAGAAAAAGTCTTAATGTAAACTGGTGCAGAAAAACACAGGCAGCTAAGCCATGGGGGCTGCAGGTATATTTACCAGAAATCTGAATATCTGGGTATACATGGGGTCATGTCATGTGTTTTCAGACTACTCACATCATACTGTATATACTGAGTGGGAGAGATAGTGGGAGACACGCTAAAGAAGAATCAATCATGAATTAGTTCTACATGCTTCTGTTTTATAATTTTGTGATACAAAATAAATTTTCTCTAGGAAATAGTATTTATTTTAATAATGCTTCCAACTCATATATAAATGCTATATTTTAAGAATGATTGTATTATGAATTACATTTGTATAAAAATTATATTTGAAATTTTGACTTTTTAATGGCACTGGCTATTTTTATGATATATTATGTTAAACCTGAGGGGGGGGGGGTTAAGGGGCTATAAATTACCTTGAAGGTGTGGAGAGAAGCATCCGGGCTCACACAGATGTTGCACACACCTGGATAATTTTCGGACAGCATAGAGGTTTCCTCTTAGATGCAGCTCTAAAGAAAATAGTACCACAAAAATCTGACTACTCCTGCCAAGGACACACTATCTTCCAACTCCAAACTAAAGATTGAATTCTATTTTTTACTGTTAAGAATATATCATTTGTCAATAAAATTCACATACTTATGTGAAACTTAGCTGTTTTCAGAACATTCATTAATTGTGTCTCATTGATCTCTTCAGTCTCTGAGAACCATGGAACACACACCATGAAACTTCCCTTCAATATAGCTTCTGATAAATTTCTTTTTTTCATTTCATTTATTTCTTCTGCTGGATAATTCTCTTGTTCTTTCCTTTGGAGCGTGTTTCTTTGTTTCCCCATTTTGGCTGTCTGTTTGTGTTTGTGTATTAGGTATATCTGCTAAGACTCCTGATTTCTAGTGCCAGACAACATCAGATGCTGTTTGTGACTGGCCCTGGGTACCTGTTGGGGGCTGTCAACGCTGCACAGCTGGTGGCTCCCTCTGCTGGGGCTGGTTCCTTTGGGAAGGACCAAGAAGTGCACTAGAGTCTGTTTTTCCTAGCCCCAGACACAGGAGTTCAGGCAAAACTCAAAGCCTCCAGAGATCCACCTCTGCCCGATATTATTTGGGCACCTTGCTCAGTTCTGGTGCTCTGGGCTTGGGAGCCCGGCTTGGGGATTAGACCCCGGAGTTCTCAGTGGGAACCCCCTGCAGCTGAGGAAAGTCCTCTCAGAACTTCAGCTGCTGTTTACAGGAGCCTGGCCAGCCCTTTCCTGCCTCCACACTTCCTGCCAGTCTCTGTGTGGTCCCCACTTCTGTCCTTGGTTATCAGGGTTCTCTCCAGCTCTCTTTAGTTGACTTTTTCAGGGCGATTTTTCTGTATTGTAACTGGTTTTTCAATTTAGTCCTGGGAGAGTGTCAGTGTGGCTTCTACTTACTCGGCCACCATTTTGGAAATCCTCCCTACTTTTACTTTTAATATTTATCTGTTTTTATATCTAAAGTGGGTTTCTTATAGATAACATATAGTTGGATCTTGGTCTTTGATACATTCTGACAGTCTGTATTTTAATTGTATTTAGATCATTGGCATTTAAAATAATTATTGATATAGTTTGATTAATACAAAATCTATCATATTTGTTACTGTTTTCTTTTTGTTGCTATTTTGACTGCCACATTTTTGTGTGGCTTTAATTTTTTATTCTATTTTCTCTTTTTAGCATATCAATTATATACTTTTTTTTTTTACCTTTTAACATTTTTTAGTTGTTACTCTAGAGTTTGCAATATATGTTTACAACTAATCCAACTCCCTTCAAATAACACTACAATACTGCATGGCTACACCTTATAATAACAACATATTAAGTACCTTATAATAACAAAATATTCCTAATTCTTTTCTCCTTTCCCTTGTATCATTGATGTCATTCATTTTATTTATACATAAGCATATATAAAGATATATATATATACATATATATATAATCAAATACATTGTTGATATTATTTCTTGAATGAGCTGTCACCTATTCGATTAAATAAGTAAAGAAAAATAAAAGTTTTAATTTACTTTTATGTATTAATTCTTTGATGCTCTTCCTTTCCTTATATAGAGCTTTCCAACCTATATCATTTTCCTTCTCTGAGAAGACCTTCTTTTACCATTTCTTGCTAGGTAGATCTTCTGGCAACAAATTCCCTCAATATCTGTTTGCCTGAGACTATCTTGATTTCTCCTTCACTTTTGTAGGATAATTTTCACAAGGTACTAAGTTCTAGGTTGGTGGGGAGTTTTTTTTCCTTCTAGCACTATAAATATTTCCTCCATTCTAATTGCCTACTTGGTTTTTGAAGATTAGTTAGATGTAATTCTTATTTTTCTTCCTCAGTAGGTAAGGTGATTTTTCTCCTTTGGCTTATTTCTTCATTCCCCTCCCCCCCCCCCCATTTTATTTGATTATTATTATTTTTTATTTTTTTTTTGCAGTTTGAATATGGTACACCTAAGTATAGTTTTGTGTGTTTTGTTGTTGTTGTTGTTGTTGTTTGCATTTATCCTGCTTAGTGTTCTCTGAGCTTCCTGGTTGGTATCTGACATTATTTTGGGAAAATTCTCAGTCACTATTGCTTCAAATATTTTTGTGTTTTTTTTTCCCCCTCTCTTTCTTTTCCTGGGTATTTCCATTATAGGTCTATTGCACCTTTTTGTGGATGTCCCACAGTTTTTGGACAGTTAGTGGTATTTGTTGTCTTTTTTTTTTTTTCTCTTTGCTTTTCAGTTTTGGAGGTTTCCATTATCATACCATCAAGCTCAGATTTTTTTTCCTCAGCTATATCTGCTCTACTAATGAGGTCATCAAGCATAGTCTTCATTTCTGTCACAGTGTTGTTGTTTTTATCTCTAGCATTTCTTTTTTATCCTTCATTAGAATTTCTATCTCTCTGTTTATATTATTCATCTGCTTTTGTATCTTGTCTACTTTTTCCAATAGAGCCATTAATGGATTATCATTTTTATGCATTCCTGCTCTGGTAATTCCAACGTCCCTGGCATATTTGAGTTGCTTCTGATGTTTGTTTAGTTTCTTCCAACTGTGTTTTTTGCTTTTTTTGTATGCCTTATAATTTTCTGTTAATGTACCGGGGAAAAGGCCTCTGGTTACAATAATGTATGTGTGTGTATGAAGGGGGTGGTGCGATAGCAAGCTTCTATAGTTCTGTGTTAGGTCTCAGTCTGTTGGTGAGCCTGTGTTTCTAGACTGTGAATTCACCCATGCTACTTGGCTTCTTCCCTTCTCCTGGATGGGACAGGACAGCTCAAGGTGGCTGGTGTTGGGTATTTGCCTTTCTTTTCTTTTTTAATTTCTTTATTGATTACCATGTTACATGTGTCCTTATTCCCCCATTATTCCCCTCCCCCATTCCCCCTTATGCCCTCACCCCTCTGGTGTCTGTGTCCATTGGTTAGGCTTATATACATGCATATAAGTCCTTTGGTTGATCTCTCCCCTAACTTCCCTCTGAGATTTAACGCCTTTCTTCAAGCACAGAAGGCTCTGGTAAAATAGTCCCTCCTGAGGCCAGGCCTTGGTGCCCTGAGGTACATATCGGAATGATGGTTTTTCCCTCCTCCTGCTGGAACCCTGTGTGAACCTATTACAGCTCCTGAAGGTCAAACTCATGAAAGTATGGGTCTCCCTCCCCTGGTGAATTGTTGCCTTGGAGTTTTCCTGTCTCAGGCTTCTCGACACTGCACCTCTAGCGACTCATTACAGTTCAGGTTTTCCCAACCCGGCCCTGGATCCCAAGGAGGTTTTTGCGTGGTCGTTTTTTCTCAGGTAAGTCGCGATTCCCTATATCTGCCTGCCTGCCTGTCTCTCCAGTTTGAGGGGTATAGTTTGCCCTATGACCTTACTTCTCTGACAGATCAAAGAAGACTGATGATTTATTTTTCCAGTTTGCTCATTGTTCAATTGGAATGGAGACTTCTAAGCTTCTTACATACCAGATAAGAAACCAGCAGTCTTTCAAGTTCATTTTGAGTAAAAAGAGAAGGTGGAAGGAGTCAAATGCAACAAAATGTGACAAAAGAAGCCCAAATTCAAAAGCCCACTTTCAAAAGAAAAACACGGAAATAAGAAGGGAAAGTCAGTATTGGTCACCCACGCTCTGTTGCTAACACCCAAGCTCTGTTACTAACTCTTCATATCAAGTCTTCCCTCTTCTT